GATGTCACCTAGCGTCTGAACGGCTAGCCGTAGAACGGCCAAACTTGGTGACTTTTCCTAGAATATTGTTGGCAACAATTCTCAATCATTGAAATAAGATAATGATTTTTTTGTGTTGCCATGGCAACGGGTTTCTGACAGGCATTTTTTGCTAAATTTAGTACTTTTTGTTTCAACAATAGAATTTTATGGGTTTTATGTCAAGTTACTCATGGTTTCTAATATTAATAACATCCCATATAATTTTATGTAAATCTTATCATTAAATATGCATAATTTATGCTAATTTGATGACGTCATTGGCCAAAATCCAAGATGGCGGACCATATCATTAGAACAGGTATATACAGGTTATTTCCATTAAAATTTCATCAATACTTCCATTTCTTTTTACCAAAAAAGGTTTAAATGAAGGTCTTTAGTATGTTTACAATGTATTTTAGGCTTTATCATAAAAAAAAACTATTTTTGAAAATTCAAGATTGATGATCCAAGATGGCGGATATCTTATATATGCATGACGTCATTTTATGACGTCACCGGTGTTGCTATGGGCAATATAAGACTTAGTACACCATAATATTCTGTCATAAACACTTTTGGTACAGTTATGTTGAATACCATTTAGTTTTCAGGGTAAAACCTATTTAGACGGTTTTGGCCAATAAAATCACATTAATGACGTCATAATGACGTCATATTACGTCATAACTACATAAAAATTGTAGATAAGATAAATTTTCACTAGTACACCATTCTCTGAAAATTTGGTGGTCATACGACATACCGTTCGCGAGTTCTTAGGGGGGGTCAAAAGAGCGCCCCCCCCCCGGTCCCCCCATGTCAAAAAAAGCCCGGTCTAGGTAGGGTTAAGATGAAAGTTATTCATGTACTGAGGGCTTAAAGTACAACCTGCGGGTAAAATACTAGTATGGGCTATGCAGATATTTCTCATGTCTACCTGCACCTTGAGTGCAATGTTTAGAAAATTGTTATGTGGTAACAGAACATAACTTTTCATTGAGTTTTTCTTCTATTTATTTCACATACAGGTGTCAAGAATCAACATGTGGCTGGCATATTGTCTTCAAAATGCAGAGCCTATCAGGACAACCTATTAACTGGACCATATAATGCATACCTATGTAAGAGTGCTGTACAACCAGCCACTGTCTTAGAGGAATGCTTTTTTTGCCATATATTTCCTCAATGCATAAAGGAATATCAGCTGTACTCCATTAGTTATGATTAGTTAGTTCACATAGAAACATAATGACAATGCAGAACATCTAGGTTTAGAAACAGCATGATATCATTCCTTGTTGAACTACTGAATGGCTAATCTTCCCGGTCTTCTATATATATTTATGGTAACCATTTGTAGATAACGTTTCTTTTACTTGTCAAGTATGCTTGTCAATTCAGTGATTGTAGCTGTAATGGCATATTATTATTCATTTTATTGAAATAAACCTGTTATTCATATCTTTCATGTTATATTCAAATTAGGCAGTAATGCTAGTTTAAGGTAACTGTACACTAGAGATGCATCACTTCGTTAAACAGTCACAGTGCATGGTACACTACCTTTCAATGTATTTATCTATTACAACTTTAATTACCTAGATTTTAGAGACAGTATCATAATAAAAGAAATATGCCTGTTCTGATTAAATACATTTTGAGTCTTTGGTGCGTAGCATTTTATAGTGGCGTAGTTCATCATGTATCTATAATCTTCTTGAGTTCATGGTTTACAAGCTCAGAGCATTAGCATTAATGGGGTATGATTGATGGATGGCTACATTGTTAACCTGCCGAATAAAGTTCCAACTGGTTGTTACTCAATAAAGCTTGCCTTCATCTAATTATGCTAATTGATAGATTGCATGAGGACAAACAAAATTAAGGGCTCGAAATTGATACTGTCCCTATGTCCTAAGGCCACTGAAATCTGGACTGGTACATCAGGAGGCTTACTTGTGACACCTGTCCGCTATTATGCCAATCATGGCTGCCACGTGCACCATGCCAGGTGCAGTGGTGTTACATATTACATTTAGCAGTTTGTTGCTATTCAAACATTAGGATGCTGAATGTCAGTGTAATGCAGTTTGTATGTCTGAAATGTAATGATAACAAATGAGTACGTGTACTTATTCAACATTTCTAACTGACACGCAAGTGTGAAAGTAATAAACTACAAAAATACTGTAACACTGAATGTTTGCTGCTGATTTACATCACTGGTTTGTATAGCCAAAAGGTTAAGGTTCAAATTATCAACGTTCGTCACTCCTTAAATATTGTATTCATCTATTATACTAAAAGTTGGTACATGTATGTATATCAGGCAAATCTAGTAGATGAACTGGTCATCTCTAGTAATGTCTCTAGTTTGACTCCTAGAAGTAACTTACAGTTTCATCCAGATGACTCTTGTACCTTATCAAGGCATTGTTTTTGATCACCTTCATCAAGGTCTTCCATTGTTTTTAGATTCTGTTTAGGCCCTTTCCTGAAATCTTAATATAGTTGTAGTTCCTCCTTCTTGACCCTCTTATATTCCTGACCCGTGGGCTTGAAATCTGGCTTCCCTCTTTTTCCATAACGGATATTGGTAATTATTTGTGCAAACTTCTCTGAAGGAAAATGGGGTCTGGTCTGTACCAGTACATGCGTGCTTCCTCCAATTGCGCACGCATCTCCATTAACATACGCAGTTAGGTTTATTGTCCGAGGGATATTTGGAAGGCGACAAACATGAGAAAAGAAAGTAAAATGAAATAAGAGATTACGTCTGACGCTACACTACGTTCTACATAATAGTATCTCGTCTTTAATTGTAACCTCTTCGTTATCCCGAAATCTCTAAGAGACGCTCCAAGGTGCAAAATGTACATTGTTTTTTCCCACGTGCAACCTTTCCGTTAGCGAATATTTGAAAGCTTATTAAATCGATACCCATATTTACTTACGAAATGCAAAGTTCTATGTTTAGAAAGTCGTATCTGTCTTTTAATAAAACCTATGCGAGATGCGAACACCCATGCGTTCTGACCTAATGCTGTACGCGTACATGATGATTCTTGGGTCAATTTGCTAACTTCATCTAGCAAAAGGGTGTATTGAAGTCTTTCTAAAACATGGCTAAGGTCGTATTTCGGTACGAAACTTTAACAATGATGGACTCCTTAACTATTCTAGCTCTACGTTAATAGGTTTGGTCACTTCTCTCGTGAAGATTACATACTGATACAAGCCATTCTCCGGCCCGTCCTCAACTTTGAACGGGTGCTTGTGCGATCAGAGTGCGACATTACAAAATGAGCCAGCTTTACGTTTTTCTCATGAAAAACACATTAGATTCCATATGTCAGTATGTCAAGGACCTTTATTTCGGCCAATTTTTATCGAAATCCGTTGTCTCCTAGGAGAGATTGAATTCTACACGATCTTTGTCTTGCACTATGCCATGACGCATTCTAACTACTACGTTTCTGCTAGATCATGCTGGTTCGATTTAAACCGCACCTCTCAGAAATACACTTTCGTTCATAAATCAAGAGGGAAGCGGTATTTTGTTACGAAACTTTCACAAAACTAAGATTATGTACTGGTCTAACTATGATACTGACAGATCTGCTCTAGGGTTTTTCGTTGTGAAGATACAGATCATCCACATGCGTCAATTTTGGATGGCCGAAAGCGCACAGATAGTGCGGCGCTGTTGTACATGTT